AGGGGGGGAGCAGTGCTGTTAAAAGCCCTGCGGAAAACGTGTCCCTGCCCAGTGGGGTGGTAGCTTCTGGCTGGGGGGTGCTCCGGCTGTGGCCCGGCGAGGGAAGGGCTGTGGGGGCTCTGGAACCCCCCGCTCCAGCCGGCGTCACGGCGCTGGGCCACATCGGTGAGTTCTCGGGCTCTACGTACAGCTGAAATAACGAAGTTTCTAAAGGCAGCACAAAACACAGAAGAATGTGTTAAATGATCTCTTTTTGCCCTTAAAAACGAGGATAAATGCTTTCGTTACCTCCATCCTACATCTGCAATAATACATGTTTGACGATGTTAGTGATTCTTCAACAAACGTTTGGGTTTTTTTTTTCTTCCAGAAGTAGCCCTCTTTAATACTTCTGTAGGATCTATAAGTACTTGCACCCTAAATGCATAATTCATTCTCAGGCATAAGTGTTCGTGAAGCATTAAAAAAAGACTTAAACATACTTGAGGAACAGACATACTTATGTACATCTATACATATAAAAATGGTTTTACGAGTCCCAAAGTTCAACAGAGCCTGAAAGCCAGGGCAGAATCAAAATTCTGCAAGAAACCAAATTTCTGTATTTTTTATGCCTCACATAGTTTTACTACACATATTTTTTGTGTATTAATATTGACTTGGGGGGTTTTTTTCCCCCCCCCCCCCCCAGCTTCCTGAGGCTCTGTTCTCTTAAATTCTTCCCCGCCCCTCCTGAAGTGATTAATGGATACGGATGCCTTGACTACTGCGTTTGTTTTCTCCAGATATTCATAAAGCACTCAGACATCCTCCAGCATTCCCGTTTAGTGAAAAGCTTTGAGCAGCGGGAACATCTGACTCCAGAAACGATGGAGTTGGCTGGCATGAAGCAGCTGATCTGCTCCTGCCAGACCCATTCAGATGATGTTCTCTGGAGGCCAGAAGAGACGGGCTGGAGCGGAGGGGAGTAGGGAAGACATGTCTGCTTCAGATGTAGCTCACGCGTGAGTGCCCAGACTGAGTGCCAGCGCGCTGGGAGCCGCCGGCGGGGGCTGGGGGCACAGGGTGAGCTCTGTGGGGAGCTGCGCAGCGCGTTGGCTGCTAAGAGAACTGGGGATGCTCTCCTCCTGCTGCAAAGAGGAGATGATGGCCACAGCTGCAGCAGGCATTTGTCCCTGTTGCTAAGGTAGCACGTAACACACCCACGCTTGCCTAAAAGCAAAACAGCGCGCATTTCACACAGCCAGGAGTCTTGTATGAGAGAGTGTTGCTTCGCCAAAAGGTGACTCTCTGCGCATGCAGTTTCCCTGGGTTTTGTTTTTGTTTATGTTTTTGGTTTTTTGGAGGTAGCTGTGCCATCCAGCCGGGTGTACATCTGCAAAACTTTGTCTGGCAATGCTCTGCCTTCTGTAACACCTCTGCTTGCTGATGGTTTCAGGAAGCAGGATCGTGCAGGACCAGGCAGTTCTGATGCTTCTGATTCCTACCGAGAGAGAGGTTAGGCTGCCCCTGCTTCCCTTCCCAGCCCAGGTGCGCCAAGCAAACCATGAGAAGAGCTGTGTGCTTTCAACCGCTTTTTCTAACATCACTGTGACCGTTTTCCTCTCTTTTCGCCCTGCGGTGCTGCGTGTCTCTCTTCACCCAGAGCATGCACACTCCAGAAGCTTGCACAGAAACACACTTCAGAAGCTGTGAAAAGGACAGACCCGCCTCTGACTTGTGTACTGGGTCCAAGCGCTATAAAAGCGATAGGTCATATATTTTGAAAACACTGCATGAGTCCCTCATTTATGACTTCTAAGGCACACTTTTGGTCTTTAAATTAGGCAACTATTTTATTACAACTCTCAGGCACTGATCTGCCATTTTATACTGGTTTACTGCTCTTTGGAGTGCCATTGCTCACTGCTTGGGGTCAGCAAGTGAAGCTGCGGCAGGCGTGAATCACATACACAAGCCAACGTGCAGGAGGCAGCGGCTGCTGTGGCTGGCAGGAAAATGCTGAAGAGTGACATAAAAGCCTGCGTGCCTGAAGCAAAGGGTGTCCGTAGCTGCGATTTGTCAAACTGCCTGTGAGAGCTGTCTCCCTCAGCAAGAAATGCAGCGGCCAGACCTCCATCAGTGTCCACAGACTCGCTCGACGTACATATCATAACACCTGCAGAAACCATCCGTACCCAGGAGTCACGGTGCAGCAGCAACACGATGGGTAATACCTTGTTCTCCTGCAAGCACCGCAAACCATTCGCAAAGGAGCCCGTTATCCCTTTATTTTTTTGATCTGGAAACCGAGACATACCGAGGTTAAATGAACTGACTAAGGTTGCATAATTAGCCAGTGGCAGAGCTGAGAATAGACTCCATATCCATTTCTCCAGGCCTAAGATCTAACTAGTAGACCTGTCTCGGGGGCATAGGCAGCCTACCAAATCTGTACGTCACAGCTCTATACAATATGACATTTTTAGAACAGGCTCAACCCTGAACTTACTGTAAGTCCTAAAAAAAATATCACCAAACCAGTTAAAGAAAAAAAAAATTAAAGGAGAAGAAAAGCAACAATATTTTCTTCTTATGAGAGAGGCTGGCTGGACAAAAGGGTAAAAAAAAGTTAAAAATGTTCCCAAAGCCTGAACTAACTTTGAGTAATAGTTGCTGGAGACATAGTGAAAAATGAAGCAATGCTGTGAAAAAGCACTAAGCTTTCATGGTTGTTTGATGGGCTAAAATGCAGTCATTTTTCCTCTATTTCGAAACTATTTCAGGGAAATAGTGCTTCTTACACACTCCCCCTTCCCCTTTCTCACTTACTGTCTTTCTACTCCTGTATTTCAATGCTTTTTCTTTCTTTTTTTTTTTTTTTTTTTTTCCTTTTTTACATTCAAGAATTTTTTTCTTGTTTCCTTGAAGCCAAGCTTTGATGAAAAACTTTATAGAACCCTCCACAACATGAGAATATAAAGGTTTTGAAAATAACTTATTTCTTTTCCTTTCCTCCATTTTAATGTCTTTTTTTTTTTTTAAATTCTCTTTATTCTTTTTTCTTTTTTCTTTTTTTTTCTTCTCCTTTTTTTTAATTTTTTTTTTTTTTTTTTTTTTTTTTTTGTATTGCCATTTTTATTTTGTACTCTCTGTTCACCTGCCGCTGTAGCTGCTGGGATTCATCACACGATTTATCCTTTGGTGACCACAGTGGCCACAGAAAGCCCTCCAAAGCTTTGCAGTTGAGGCCAGGGAACAGCTGCTCCGGGCCACTGCCCGAGACAGCTAGGTGGACCAACTGGGGCGTTATCTGCAGCTGCCCTCCACTTCAGTGAGACTCCTGAAGAATCCTGGATCAGATCACCAACAAGGTTAAAGAAATTATATGTTATGGTATTCAGGTGGCGCAGATGGTGATCTGCTTTCACCATAGGCATTTTGCCCCTTCCAAGGAAGTTGTGTAATGGAGAAACGACGTGTATCGTTCCAGGGAATGGTTCAGTTAAGCAGAAACTGTAGTTTTCTGCTCTGTTCTTGAAAGCAATTCAGACATCTCTCAGTTCAGTCAGGATTCGCTCACAGAAAAGGACAGTTCTAAAATATTTAAGAAGAAAGATTCAGAGCTTTAAAGCTGTTTAAAGACATGACTTCCCATCCAGTCTAAGCCAGAATCCCTTTTGATGTCAGAGAGAATTGGGCTCTACCTATCTTCAAAGTATCTTGGCTGAGTCACCTAAATGCACTTACTAACCTGGCCTGAGCAGCTCTCATTAGTGTATTGGCAGGTCTCTGAGCGCAGAGAACACATTGTCCCCCCACGTTACAAATATTTGTTCGCAATGCACCTATTATGTTCCATTAGTTACAGCACGGAGCTTAGTCTAACCATGCCTTGCACTCAGCCACTCCGTCCTCCCTGGAGGCACCTACCAGCCCAGTGCAGCCCCCATCCAAGTCTCACAGCCTGCAAATACAGCCCCAGGGCAGAATGGTGCCTCTGCCTGCATCAAAACAGCAAAATCCTTTCCCTCCATCACAGCAGGCAGAGGGAAGGTCTGTGCCTGCTCCTCCTCGGCACCGCGGCAGTGGCTGTGAAGTCCCCTATGAAGAAATACCCATGTGCAAGAGGCAGAACGTCCTGTGTGCTGTTTGGAGACGGCCGTGCCGACTGACTGCCCGGTGCCTGCAGCCTGACTGGCTGCCTTCGGCCAGGACGGGCTGAGGATCAGCTGAAGCCTCCCAGATTTCCTTGACATGGCACGCTCGCAGTGGGGTCTTGGGCTCTGTCCTCTCCCTCCTCCTCCCTAGCCCCAGCACAGCCTGCTGCTGCCTTTCACCAAATCCATAGAAATACAATTATCATGGAGATGTCTGCCTCTAGCG